TTCGCGGGAAGGGGGGGGTGTTTGGTTGGGGGTGTAATATCATCTTATATTACTTAGAATACCACATTTAGTTGTCAAGTAATATAAGATTATGATAATCTTTCAAAACCAATAGTAATTATTGTTGATTATATAATAGGTAGTGTGATTGCCTCCATTTTTTTTTAGGTAGTTTAAGATTACCAAGTAATCTTATTTTTGTTACAAATTTACCCTTAACTATTACAAATTTTGGACAATAATGCCTTTATTTTGAAAACAATTTACAAATATATTCATAGACTATTTTATCCTTATATACATAATTTATAGGACATAAATACCCTTGAACTTGAAAATTATTACCCAAGACTGGTGACCAAATCTGGCCACCAGTGTCGACAGCCGATGACCGACCACCACCACTAGGGGTCAATGCTAGAATGGCGCACAACTGGTCGGATCTAGTTGTTTTTTGCCAAATCTATGGTTTCTAGTCATGAACGACAACCAGATCTCTGGTCGTCGTCAACGAATAACGGCCAATTTGGTTGTAGATGTAGTCGTTTCTGGCCAAATCGACACACAGTCAACCAGATTCGGTCAGGTGTGTGTCGTTTCAGCGACTGTCACCGTCAGCCAGTAGTGGCTTAGGGTGGGTGGGGGTGATTTGGTTAGAAATTAAACTTTTATGTGGTTTGGGTGTTTTAGCAAAATCTCAAATGTAGAGGGGGTTAAAAAATGATTCAAAAAATAATAATAAAAATAATATTATATTAATATTTAAAAATGAGGGCAGTTTAGTAATTTATATAGCATATCCACTTATTTATTTTTCCCAACCAAACATATAAATATAATATACACTCCAATTTATTATAACTTAACTAAACACATTTTTTCTAAACATTCTCAATAATCTTCAAGGTAATCTATCTTTCCATTAATATAACATTCTCAATAATACAACATTTTCTAAACCAAATGCACCCTCAAGGTAACCTATCTCACTGGTTACTCTACATTTTCAATAATAAAACATTCCTCGTACCAAACGCACGGTATTATCAGTGACCTCCCCTAAGGTTTAAGGGCTTTTTCACATCCCACGAATATTAGAAACACTCTGGGCCTCCCCTCATATTTCATAAAATATCCATTTACCTCCCTTGTCCACCGTTTTCTTACACTCAATCGTTAAAGATCAAGGTTACCAACGTCATTTCGTTGTTCATTTACTTTAAGCACTTTTATGAAATCTCACGCCAACATCACAAGCTCTAATTTGTAAAACTCCATGTAGATTGAAGCATTATATATGCAGCATACAAAAATCTTCACAGAAAAATGGCTTGGTCATAATAATAAGCGGTTTTTTTTTATTAAACTAACTTGTAACACCAAATCCTATATCAAATGTAAAATTAGCATATATATATATATATATATATGACGATTTAGGTGATTTAAAAAACATAACTATGATATGTTCTTTAAATCACCTTAATCGAACAAATATCATGCTAAATAAATGAAACTTATGGATTTGCACAAATATTAGCCCATGCTACAATTACAAAACAAGTCCATATATTAGATCCAAAAGTGGCTACAGTGGCCAGCCCAGCTTTGACAAGATAACCGCCTCAAAGTTTGGTTTGAGGCCCAAAATTCCAAGCAATTTCAATAATATTTGGCAGGTCTCTACGGAAATATTGGAATTAGAAGAGTCAACACTGCATTTGCTAAATGTCAAAATGAGGTGTGAAACGAACTTCTAAGATTAACCAGGAAATACCAACAACGTGCAACTCCTTGGAATAGAGTTTTGTATGTATCAAACCAGTCCAATTCCACTTTAGTTAAAATCAATCAATGCAAGACTTGACAAAGAAGAAAATGAAAGCTATTATACAAGTTGTGATTCATGGAAAGAGAGATAAGTTTGGGATTGCAATCATAGTTGATTTGAAATCTCATATTATGATTGCAATCCCGTGATTCGTTGAGATTGTGCTGCTAGTGGTGTTGATCTTATCCATTTCGAAATATCCAAGATTGAAGTTTATCTTTGATTTCGTTGAATAACTGTTTAGAATAGTTTCTGTGACGAGCTTCACCTAGGTCGAGCTTACTCTGAATTGAACTAATTCTGGGTCAAACTATCTCTTTGCGAGTTTTCAGGATCTATAAGCTCTTATGGCAAAATCACACACAACAATTATTTTTCGATCACACTTGTACTTTAACAAATATCTCCTAAATAATCAAGCAACTTTTTAGTGCATGCACCGATTAAAGAGTTTATGCACATAATGTACGTTGATATATCAAATGTTATTTAGTGGCTGGTTGCACTTGACAAATATCTCCTAAGTGATTTAACAATTCATTGGTGCATGCACCAATCCAAAAGTGATCAATTACATGTTATGTAATCTCCGGCGGCCAAGTTTTTCGCTCTTAATTTAGTAGTTCTTCCTTGTTATTTCCTTGCAACTCATAAGTAACAGCTTGATATTTTTTGTGTTGCTATTTTGTCAAATTCACTTTCAACAATTAAAATCTATCAATTTGAACAGTTATTTTGTAAAATGTTTTCACATTATCCACTTACGTCCCCTGCCCACCGTTTTCTCACACTCAATCGTTAAAGATCAGGGTTATCAACGTCATTTCCACTCTCTTCAACTCTCTGTTTCCAAACTCCAGCATGAGATTCCACTCAATTTCTCATACAAACCCAACTCCAAGTGAAAAGAAGATGAAAATGAGTTAAGCATGTGCAGTCAGAACCCCTGTGACTCTCTAACCATTCCCATGTAGAACGTCATTTTTTTTTTTTTTCAAATGAAATAATAAACCCATTTGCGTTAAGGCCGTGAAGGCATGTCTCCCATTTGATAATACTGATACCTTAGCTCCATGGCCTCCAAGGTTTGAAGAGTTTGATACCACCAACATGCTTCATATTTTTCAAATAAAAGGATTCATTTTTGGACTTTTAAATTGGATCGTACTTGTTTATGGTTATTTGTTAGTCGTCACATATTTTTTCTACGGAAGATATCTATCAAATGGTTTACTCGTTCAGAAGAAGTGGCTGGATGACCTGGGTTGGGATATTCGGGAGATATTAGTGATTTTTGGGTTTATGACCCGTTCATGTTTTCCTATTTATTTATAATAGAGAGCATTAGGAATTATTATTATTATATATTTCTAACTGTACATTTTCCGTTAGTTAACATTTAGGGGGCGTTTGGTTAGGGGTTACGCGGAATTACTAGGGTTAAGTTATCTTATTTTACTTGATTACTATATTTGGTTGTCAAGTAATATAAAATTTCAGTAATCTTCAAAAACTAATAGTGGTTACTGTTGGTAATATTAAAGGTAATCAGATTATCTCTATTTTCTTAGGTATTGTAAGATGACTTGAGTAATCTTTTTTTGTTACAATTCTATCCCTTATTAATAAAATTTTAGGACAATAATGCCCTTATTTTTAAATTTATTTACATGAATCTTGCTTGTACCATTTCACCCCAATTAACTAACTTTTTAGACAAAATTACCCTTGAAATCAAAACAAATTTCAGCTTACCCAAGCCACCACCCCCACCCACTTGCTGTCGCCAGCCAAACCACAGCAGGCTGCCATCGGAAGTCGCCAGAAGTGACTTGAAGTCGTGACCAGCCCACCATGATCGAGAGGCCCCGATATGGCCATTTTTTGCCATATTGATGGCCAAAAAGGCCATATCGAGAGCAGATCTGGCAGAAAATGGCCAGATCTATTATGGTCATTTTCGTCTTCATTAGCCAGATCTATTCCGGCTTGAATATATCTGGTCGTTAATGGCTAGATATGTGCCGTTAACGGCCAGATCTCGCCCAGATTTGGCTGATAAAGGCCAAGGGTCTAGTCATTATCGGCCAGACCCATCAATTTAGCCGACAATGGCCATATTAGATTTGGCCATTTCCGGCCATATCTGCTCTCGATATGGCAGTTTTTGGCCATTGATTTGGCCATTTCCGGCTATATCTGCTCTTGATATGGCTTTTTCGGTCATCAATATGGCCAGAAATAACCATATTGGGGCCTCCCAGTCACAGTGGGCTGCTTACGGCGACTTCTGATGGTTTGTGGTGGCAGCAGGCCATGGTAGGGTGGTGGGGGTGAGTTTGTTATAAATTAAAGTTTTATATAAGCGGGGGTGTTTTAGCTAAATTTGAAATTATTTAAAAATTAATAATAAAAATTTTAAAAAGATGACAATTTAATAATTTAAATAACATACCCACTAATTTATTCCTCCTAATTAAACATATTAATATAACATATCTATTAATTTATTCTAACTAACTAAACATATTTTCTTAAAGATTCATAGTAATCAAATATTTCCTAAACCAAATGTTAGAGGGAAGGTAAGTCAATAATAGGTTTTTCACAGGAAACCCCCATATGTTTTGCCTAATCCTTAAGCATCCAATATTATATGGGTAGCCCACATTTTTTCCGGATGGTTAACTTTTTATATTACGGTGAGGGGTAACTTCCTAAATGGCTAAATTACAATTAACTAAAAAATCTTCAAACAAAATTTTGTATAATATTAAAAAGTCCTAATTTATTTTAAATTGGTAGTGAGTTACCAGCTTATATTAGTCAAATTAAATCATAATAATACTGCACTAATAAATTATTCTTATTAACATTTTCTTATAAACATGATGGATCAGTTTGTAATTAATCAATTTATAATACTTTTCACCTAACCAATAATAAATCCAGCCTTAGTAAGTATAAACTCATTAATTGCGAGCTTATCACGATAGTGTTGGGTGAGAAAAAATTGTCAGTGCTCCTCGGCCAACCTTTATTCAATTAAATCAACGAAGATGGGACCAGAAACCGACAACTTTACTGAAGGGTTCCCGGAAGATGGACCACACGCTTTTATAATTGAAATCTATTGTTGAGATGTTTGCTTGATTTTTCTTAAGATGGCTTCTCCTTTCTTCTTCCACTCTTCTTGAGATGATTTCATTAGTTTCACAGAAGAAGAGAATAGGAGTAAACTAGAAGAATCAAGGGAGAAAACAAATTTTGGCTTATTTTCGAAAGCCTATGAAGTAGGATGGCTTCTTCTTCTTCTTCTTCCACTACTTTTGCAGCGAGGGAGCATGATGTATTCCTCAGTTTCTGTGGCGAGGACACCCGCTACACTTTTATCAGCACTTTACATGGAGTTTTCAAGCAGCGAAGTATAAATGTTTTTGTTGATGATGGACTTAATAGAGGAGAGGAGATTTCGCCATCTCTTATGAATGCAATTGAAGAATCAACGATTTCAGTTATTACTTTCTCGAATGGTTATGCATCTTCAAGATGGTGTCTTGATGAACTTGTGAACATCATGGAGTGCAAGGAAACGCATAAACAGGCCGTAATCCCAGTTTTCTATCACATAGATCCAACCGATGTAAGGAATCAAACTGGAACTTTTGGGGATGGATTTGCTAAGCTTGTAGAAAGTTTTGATGAGGAGAAGTTAGAGAAGCTACAAATGACTGAAGAACAATTTAAAGATAAGGTGGAGAAATGGAAGAAGGCTTTGACAAGCGCAGCTAATCTATCCGGCTGGACATCAAAAGTTGAACCGTAATTTTCTACTCTGTAATTTAGTACTCTTGCTGTTTTAGCTGATGTTAACTTTCACATTATATATCAAGTAGTTTAAAAGAGATTAGATATATATTCCATTGGATTGATGAAGATTTTTTTTTTTTTTAAAATCAAGGCCTAATAAATTAAAGATACTCCTACATTAAAATTCACAAATCAAGTAGATGGTTACTGACTTTTGCAAAATATTTTACGTTTGTTTGAACTTTGATTACTGAAATTCATTAATTGACAATATCATCAAACCATCATAAGTTTTCGTAATGTTTTCATATTCAAGGATCAATCTAGCAAAATTAGTGAAATTTTGAAAGTTAAAAGTTTTTTGACTGATGAGAACAATAACTATTTTTTCTCACAATCTTTTTGCTAGCCAGTAATTCATATTTGAACTTTTTCTAATTATCTTTTGTCAATATATATATATATATGTGTGTATATACATCTACATATATGTATGTATGTGTATGTATATACATGTATGTGTGTGTGTGTATATTGGATGGGTGCATAAATATAGTGGCATGTTTCCCGCATCTAAAGTTTTCTTCATAATTGTTTGAATAATATTTAATTGGTAAACTTCATTACAATCAACTGTTGTTGGATTTTTTTATTTTTTTTTCATTTCTTAATGATTTATTACATTTATAACAGTTTTCCTTTTTTTTTTTTAGGTCTGATTATCCTCTTGTTATGAAAGTTCTCGAAGATATTTTGAACATCTTAAAGTTCATGTCCCCAAGTAATAGTGACAAGAAATTGGTTGGAGTAGAACGAATAATTCGCGAAATTGGATCTTTATTGAAAATTTGGCGGGGAAATGTTATTAGTGTAGGAATATGGGGAATGTCTGGTATAGGCAAGACAACTATTGCAAAAAGTGTATTCAACAAATTCAGGGGACGGTTTGAAGGTTCATACTTTGCTGAAAATATTAGGAAAAAAATCAGCAAGTCCTTATGGACTATGTCCAATGCGACAAGAACTTTTTTCTACTATATTGAAGCATCCTATCAGCTTCACAAAAGGAAGGCTTAGTCATAAAAGAGTTTTCATTGTTTTTGATGATGTGACTACTATAGAGCAAGTAGAATCTTTAATTGATGATATTGAACAGCTGGGTTCAGGAAGTCGAATTATTATAACAACAACAAACAAACAAGTGCTTCGAAATTGTGGAGTGGATGACATTAATATATACGAGATGAAGGGGCTATTTGGGAATGATGCTCTTCAACTTTTTAGTTGGTATGCTTTTCGACAAAATCGTCCCAATATAGATTATGATGACTTGTCAAATAGGGTAGTAAAATATACCAGAGGTGTTCCATTAGCTATTAAAGTGTTAGGTTGTTACTTTTTTGGCAAGTCGAAACAAGTTTGGGAAAGTGCATTAAAAAAGTTCGAAAGAATTCTTCATGAGGATATTTACAAGGTGCTGAAAATAAGTTATGACGGACTAAATGATGTTGAGTAGTGCATATTTCTAGATATTGCATGTTTCCTTGAGGGGGAGACTAAAGATTTTGTGGTAAACTTTTCGGACGCTGATGACGAGGAGGTTGAAATTGCATTAATTGATCTCACTGATAAGTGTCTCATAACTATATCAGAGGATAACAAAATAATGGTGCATGATTTGCTTCAAGAAATGGGTTGGGAAATTGTCAGACAAGAATCTACGAGAGATCCTGGTAAACGTAACCGTTTATGGTATCATGAAGATATCTATAGAGTATTGGAAGAAAATGAGGTAAGTGCCGAACGCATTAGATAAATTTTGAATTGATATTTTATAACCACGAGATCTAATATAATATCACTTTTAGAATTATGTTTCCAGTTTTCCTATTAATGTAGCGGTATTAATATTCCAATATTTCTTTCTTAAGTTCTCAATATATGTTACTAATTATTCCTTTTCTATTTACAGCTTCATAAATTGAAACATATCGATCTCAGTTTCTCTAAATATCTAAGAATTCAAGATCTCTCGTTGGCCCCAAATCTTGAAAATTTGATTTTAGAGAGTTGTACAAGTTTGTGTGAGATTACCTCATCCGTTGATGGTCTCAATTATAAGCTCCTTATCTTAAATCTAAGGCATTGTAAAAGCCTTGACAGTCTTCCGACAGACATTCGTCTAGAATCTGTTGAAAAAGTAATCTTTTCTGGCTGTTCAAATCTTAAGAAGTTTCCACAAATCTCCTGGAATATGAAAGAATTATATTTAGATGAAACTGCAATAGAGAAGTTGCCGTCGTCAATAGAGAATTTATCCAGACTAGTTATATTGAATCTTAAAGACTGCTCAATGCTTGAGAGGGTTCCAAGCAACATCTGCAAGTTAAGATCTCTTGAACATCTCAATCTCTCAGGGTGTTCAAAACTTGGAGGTTTGCTTGATAACTTGAGAAATTTAACAGCTTCGAGGGTGCTTAAAGCGGTGAGGGTTGCCGCTACAAGAGAAGCACCGATATCCATTCCATATTTGCGCCGTCTAGAAAAATTAGATCTGACCAACTGTTTTATTAAGGAGTTACCGGACAATCTTGGTCAGTTATCCTCACTGCAAAGCTTACTTCTTGGCAGAAACTTCTTTGAGAGCATTCCAAGTATTGCAGCGCTTTATAAGTTGTCTTATCTTGACCTAAGCTATTGCGAGAGGCTTCAAGTCCTACCAGAGCTTCCACGTAATTTAAGAAATATAGATGCATACAATTGCACAGCATTGGGAGTATCATCAAGTTTTTCAATTTTCTTCGAGAATTTGAATTTTTTTTACCACGGCGCAAGAATTAACTTGAGCAATTGCTTGAATCTGGATCAAGACGCCATCAGTGAATTTTTTAACGGTATTCTACAGCTAGAAAAGCGTACTTTAAAGGTCTTCTCGCTCTTTCTTTTTTCATATGATTTTTCATTACTTCTGTTAGGAAAAGAAAATTTTTAATGGTATATGTTTACGTTTACCTATGTTATAAGTGATTGACTTCATTTTTTATTTTTCACTTTTTGTATAGATGTATGGAATTATGCGAAACAACAACACTGGTTGTGTCTGTTTTCCTGGATCGGAAATCCCAGAGTTGTTTGTCTTTCAAAGGAAAGAATCTTTTATAACTCTGGAAAAACAAGAAATTCTTGGCGATAATTCCTTGTCTTCTCTTCTCGTCTGTGTTGTTGTGGAGTTTCGAAACTATCATAATGAAGGCCAAGGTTTGGTGGTTGTCTTTGAGTGCTTGCTCACAAGAGAAGATGGTACAATCGATATGTTCCGTGGAACTTTGAGGGGATGGAACTATGGTAATGGACCTGACAATGTGGACTCAGAACACGTATTCCTGGGATATGATTCTTATTCTAACTTCTCTGATTTGTACAATATTAATCATCACAAATATCGTAAGATGACCATCCGATTTTATGTTGAGAATCTTACTAAGAGATTAGGTTGTTGCAACGTGAAAAAGTGTGGAGTTTTGTGTCGAAACGATCTCTTTTAAGTTTTATCTAGACGTGGCAAAATGGCCTGCTACCGCCCGGTCGATCCATACTCGTGGAAAAGATATAGTGTCCGGGTTTATGGATGTAAACCCTTTGTAAGACCCTTACCCGGTTCTGCCCATTTATTTTGCGGGCGGGTCTGGTATACCTGCAGGTAGCCGTTAAAATAAAATTAAAAAACCCCTCCTGTCCTTTAAGTGCAAAACCAGACCTAAATGCCTAATCGATTTTTAACTTCTCTCTCCACGACTCCACAGTCCACTCCACGGTCTCCACCTTCGAGTTCGATACTTCATGTTCCCCTTCTACCTTCGGTCACTGGTGTTTCTAGCTAACGACGTTTCCATTCTGGCGGCACTGATTCTAGCACTCTCCGTCACAACTCACAAGCGGCAGGTAAGCAAAATCATTCTCTTTCTATCCTTCTTTTTAATCTCATATTATCCTCTTGTTCCGTATGCAGTTATTGCAGTAACTAGTTAACACCATAAATCTTCATCTTTTTACATGGAAAAGATGGATTTTTTCATGTTCTATATCCTCTGCATTTGAGTTTACAGAAAGTAAATTTTCTTTTTTAATTTCTCTGGCCGTTAACTTTTCTGTATTTTCTTTAAGTATTCAACTGGCTTGGTGTTTGGGTTTGTGAAGAATGAATATTGAATATTGAAGAATAAAATGTGATGTAATTAGTAGGCAGTGGAGTTTGGAGAAGGTTGAGTTGTCTTGAATTTTCATTTTATTTACGTTGGTGGTGGTGAGGCATCATTGGATTCATAACTTGGTGTTTGGTGTTAGTAAGTCAACCCAAATTTAATTCAGCTCTGTCTCTCTATTTTTTTTATTTCCTCAATTGGTTTCTTTTGAGCTTCCTTAATATCCTGTTACTTTCTTTAAGTTTCAGTCTTTGTTGTATCATTTAATTCATTTCTCACTGTTAACTTTGTTTGATTTTCGGTAATTGGTCTCTAGTATGTTTCAATATCTTAAGTTTGGCTTTTTTGAGTTGGGTTTCAATATCCTGCAACTTAATTGCGGTTATTGCCGGTTTAAGCAATTTTTAAGAATGCATCTTTTCTTTTTTTCTTTTTTACTTTACAAATTGGTTGATTACTTAGGATAATCATTTTGTGGCATTTACTGGTTTGTGAAATTTCACAGTTTTAATTTACAGCCTGAAATGTCAAGTTGTTGGCAATATTAGCAGTTTGTGGCTAGTGTCCTGCTAAACTTGTGTGCCTTTGTGTTTTAGTATAATTGGGCATTAAGACTTAGTTATCACTTGCTGGTTGAAATTTAAGCTTAATGTTTCTGACTTTCTAATTTATCTAATTTATCCCTGATGCTGATTTTGCGGATTCCTTTTCAAAGTATTATAGTTAATTTGTTGTTAGACTTTTACAGATAGCTAGAGCTTTGCATATGTTGGTTAAATCCACACTTAGAGAGACAAAGGTGCCAAGAAAAGGAGAAGCTATTTGTTCTTAATCAATAAATTAATATGCAATAGGGATTAAAATATTAGGGCTGAGGTGGGCTCCATTTCTCTTTAGATCAATACTTTACCATTAGAATGTTGTATGCAAGTAACTAGGCAGCATTGTTTTAAAACCTGACCCGTTGTGAGACCCGGTAAAGTGACCGGGTCATAGGTCGACCGGTTGGACTGTCAGCAATAATTTAGCAAATTAATCCCTGAAATTTTAGTATATTACAAAATACCCCTAAAATTTTTAAGTTATTCCCTAAAATTTTTATTTATTTAAAAATGCCCCAAAAATTACCAATCCCTAAACTTTTGATATATCTCCAAAACACCCGTAAATTAGTCCCTATAAATTTGAAATATTACAAAAACCCCCCTAAAACTTGAACTAGGCTGGAGAAGCTGTCGGGTCCCAATCTGACTGGCCGGTCCGGTTTGGGTTTTAAAACAGTCCTAGGCAGTAATTATATATTAGGAATACATTAACGTCATGTGAAGAGGGTCCTTTATGTTGCTAAAACTCTTGATCCTTTTGAGAGTCATTTTTATTTTAGCCACAAAATTGTGTTAAACGCCTTTTCTAACCTTATTATTTAATTAATTTTGTATCAAATTATTGTAGCGTAATTATCATCCCACAAGGTCATTAATTTAAATTACATTGTTGATTGATCATTTTATGTTTTAGAATCTCGTATCTTGAAGGAAATATATGTATTTATATGATACCAAACTTACATGATTAGAAAAAACACATTTTCATTATTAAAATCAACTTCAACTTTTGTTGTAAATGTAAGTCACTAATTTTTGGCATCCCATCATAACAAAATCATTGGCGTTGATACTCTTTTTAAGATTAGGATAAATTAATGTAATTAATCTGTTCAGGACTAAACCATAATATTTTATATGTTTTATTATTTACATTTATTAATATTTATAGTTAATAATTATAGATGATGATCTCGTTCATGTGCCATTAACTAATCCGGGAATTGCGGAATCAAGAGGCGCTCTACTATCACCCCCAATCCCCCATTGTGGAATGAACATGAGCTGACCAAAAATATCTTTAGTTGAACAATGTCAAGTTAAATTTATGTTATGTTTTTGTATTTGTATTATTTTGTTTGTATTTGTTTTCTTTATGTTTGCTGGTCTTAAATTGATGAGAAATTGAGATGATTGTGAACTTTTGTGGTGAATTTAACTGAATTTGGAGTAGTTGATTGTGGAGGTGTAACTATAAAATATTAAAACTGCGGAAATTGTGGGGGTGTAATTGCAAGAATTGAAAACTGAAATGAATGATGAAGGCTTGGATGAGGAGGAAAACGTGGCCTGCTGGACTTCGAGGGCCACCACCCTCCCAATTTGCACTTTTCAGGATATCCCCCTCTAATTCTCCCTGTCTGCTTTTATCCTATTCAGCCCCTCTCTCCATAGCAGAATTCTCCCAATAACCATACTCCCAGTGCCATCTGTCACACATAATTCTCCCTCACACTCACACGCTCAGGACGCCTCTCTAGTCTCTACTCAATTACCATTAGTCCTCTACTGCTGCTGCCTATGCTTCCTATTGTAGAGCAGCACACTAGGTGTTTCAGCAGTTTCACACAGTAAGTTTAGCCGAAAAGGAAAGATGTGAGAAAAATGCATAAAGGCCCAATTGAGTCCTTTTGGAAAATCCTGAACATCTACATAATTGTGTTTGTCAAAAGAATAATGCTACACTTACATCACTATTTTACACCGTTTTTATTATATCATGATGTGGTATATATCACAATTATACAAAATTTTAATTATTTTGAATTTTTAATATTGTGATAGAATTTGTGTGGTTATGGTATATGCCACATCATGATGTAATAAAAATAATGTAAAAAAGTGGTGTAAGTGTAACACTACTCTTGTCAAGATTCAATAGACAGTATGAAATTACGTAAGATTTTCACTTCCAACATAATGGAAAGAGACTAGATGAAATTAAGGGATAACACTTTTGAAAAGCCAACATGAATTCTAAATAAAGAAGCAAGAGAAGAACATGAGATTAAATTTATTTCCTTGCCCAATTCTAGGTTAGCTTTAATTAGGTATAAGATCAGATAGACACAATATCAAATTGGGATCAAGTCATACATAAATGGAGACACAAAATAATGATTCTTATGCCATGTGTTACGCACACAATTAAACAGATCACGAACAGGTACACAGTGATTTACCGTGGTTCACTTATCCAAGATGTGGATAAGTTATATCTACGTTGAGCTCCAAAAATGGGGGAGCTCATTGCACTACTATTACTTAAAGATTCAATGATTACAACCGTTTGACAGATCGATCAAACACTTTCTCTTAAACAGAAATCTACCCGCAACTTGAACCCAATAGAAACTCACTAGGAATCCCTAGCTTAAGAGCAATAATACCTTCACTGAATGACTAAGACCTAATCACTCAAATCTCACAAGTTACAAAGATTTCATAATACAAAACCTCAAACCCTAGTAGAGAACGATTTTGATTTAACGAGAGAGAAAGCTTCGATCGCACAAATCTGCCGTTTGAGCTGCTTTTATACCATTGACTAGAGTTGACGATTTCAGCCGTTGGATCAACGGTCAGGATCCAACTCAGCTAAGCCCAAAACCATAGTGTTCAAATAACTCCCAAAGTGACACCGTTTCAAGCCTTCACTTCAACATCATGGTTTATTAATTCTTATACATGGTTTATTAAATTTCTCGCTCATACATGAATACAAATTCACACAATCTAAAATAAATAATTCTCCACCAATCTAGAGCATGACTCATAAGAAGAGGCAGGAGGGAATGATGAGAGAGGAGGAGAGAGAGCACAATGATACCTTTGCACGAAGCATAGCTTTGAGGTTATGAATGTCATGATGCAACCGGGACAAGAAACCAGCAAGTTTGTCACCATCAAGTAGATCATGTGCTGTTGATCGATGCTTTTCAAAGACAGCATCCACAGCAGATACATATGAATCATCCCGTGACTGTGCCTTGAAGATGAGGTCATACATCATATCTGTTACTCTTGACATAGCTCACACTACTACCAATTTCGTTTCTGTATCATCCTTAATGATTATCACTGCAACATTCTTTATTCTTTCAGAGCTTCCAACACAAGTGCCACCAAACTTATGAACATAACATAAGTCTCCTTTGGGAAGCTGAAATTCTTCCATCGATTTTTCCCCTGAAATATCTGTAAACATGAGAAAAAATAAATATTGACTGAATTTGTGTCTACAATTTCCAATTGCAACTCAAATTAGATTATAGACAGAACAGCTTACAAACCTGTAACTGAAGCCAACATGGGCGAATTTGAAGACTCCCTTTTTCCATGCTGTCCAAAGGCTATTCTGAAACATAAAACATAAAAAACAAAGCTAAAACAGGATATAAACTTTACAATCTACAAGAAATGTTCACAGAGCTACTTAAACTCTGCGTTATAAGTTCTGATATATATATATATATATATATATATAGGAGCCTTCTCATTAACTCAACTTTTATCAAATATACAGCTAGCATAAGGCACCAAAGCGCATCAGTCAGAATCAGTTCCAAAGAAAATTAAAAGATTAAATTTTGACAGCAGTAAGCATCAAACTGCATTGATTTAAACCAGTTTCGAGGCAAACGATGTGATTTACAAGGATTGGAAGGAATTTGAGAGAAAAAGCACTTTGAAAGCGAGTAATAAATTCAAAAATTATCAAAATCATAAAAACTCATCGTTTAGAAGTGATTCTGAAGCATCTTTTCAAAGAAAATATTCTAATTAATCCAAAAGTAATAAAAAATACAGACAGTGTCGCATTAAAGAGTATCAAAACACATTGTTGAGAATCATTGTTTGAGACAAATGAAAAGCTTTACCCGGACCTGGACTCATTAAATAATCATTCATACAAAATTTATTATCAAATACACATACATCAACAGCATCAAAATACACCATTCTGAAGCAAATGAATGACATTAACCTTAAA